CGTCATCGTCACGAAGCCGACTGACTACGCGACACTACCGACACGGGAAGGACAAACCGGACCCTGGGCGCCGTCGTATTTCGTGGAGGTGCCCCAGTATCGCACGTGGGACGCGTGGTGCGCAGGTCTGCGCGCTCGATTTGAGCCAATCGCGGCCTCGATCTCGGCGCGACAGAAGCTCCGCACTTGGCGCCAACTCGGTTCCGTCCAGGATTATACGAGCGGATTTCTGGCGCTATGCGAGCAGGTGGGCTACATGCATGAGAGCGAACGCATCGACCCCTACATCGGCGGCCTGAAGCAGGACATCGCTCAGGAAATCCAGCTTCGCGACGTCACTGAGTTTCAGGAAATTCTCGCTATGGCGGAGAAGCTCGACTTCTTTCGCCGACCGAGACCGGGGTCCTACGGAAACAACACCTGGGGACATCGGCCTCGTGGGACGAACGAGAGCGCCACGATACGCGCCGTCGCCGCAAATGCCGCTGCCGCACCGTTCAAAGGGCGCTGCTTTGCGTGCAATCGGCCGGGACATCGCAAGAGCGAATGCCCGGAAAACGCTAAGGGAAAGGGGGAAGCTGAGCAGCAGACACAGACCAAGCAGCAGGGAAACGCTGGAAGTCAGTAGCAGACGGGCCCTCTACTGACAGGTCACGCCGCTCGCCCGACCCAACCGACCCTCACCGAGTGATTGTGCCGGTTCACGCAATCGACCACACCCGGCCGAATAAGGAGGGTACCACGGTAGATAGCCCTATACTGCTCAGTGGGAAAATTGGGACGGACTTAGTTAAAATCTTCGTAGACGGGGGAGCCAGCCACAGCCTCATTAACACTGCTACAGCACGGAAACTGCGACTGCCACTGGACCGATGCTTACCTGAGATCGACGCACGACTGGTAGACGGCACGCCGCTGGCAATACGGGAACGCGTAGACCGAGTTCGGATTCGATGCGGGGGTAGCTTCACGTTAAGTCAGGAAATGCTCGCAACGACCCTCGACGGAACCGACATTCTACTCGGGCGTGATTGGCTGCGACGACACAATCCGCGAATTGACTGGACGACGGGTGACTGCACCGTGCGAGTAAACGGTAACAACATCGCCTTACCTCGCTGGGGCTCGCCTGAGTCTTCGTCGGTGCGTGTCAGTGCGGTCACGATGAAACGCGCTGTTGCGGCCGGAGCCGACGTGTACGCGGTTGACATTCGGGAAGCCGAGGCAGCAGACAAGGGGGGCGATTTACAGAAACTGCTGACCGACGTACCGAGTGACCTGGCGGCACTGTTAAAACAGTACAGTGACATTTTCCCGGACGACCTGCCGACGGGACTGCCACCTCAGCGACCGCACGATCACATGATAGAACTGGAACTGGGGGCACAGCCAACAGTACAGCGACAGTTCCGACTGACCCAACCCGAACTAGACGAACTGAGGAAGCAGCTCGATTACCTGCTCGAAAAGGAATTCATTCGCCCTAGTTCGTCGCCCTTCGCCGCACCCATACTGTTCACACCGAAAAAGGACGGGGGGTTTCGCATGTGTATCGACTACAGGGCACTGAACAGGGTTACCATCAAATCCCGCTACCCCATCCCACGAGCCGACGAACTGATCGACCAACTGCGCACAGCCCGGGTTTTCTCGAAAATTGACCTCCGGGGAGGCTACCACCAAATCCGCGTTAATCCACCCGACTGCCCTAAAACCGCATTCCGAACACGCTACGGATCTTTCGAATACACCCTCATGCCATTCGGACTGACCAACGCCCCCGCCACCTTCCAAATGACCATGAACGAAGCATTCCGCCCGCTTTTAGATAAGTGCGTCATCGTTTATCTGGACGACATACTGATTTACAGCCCTGACAGAGCACAGCACTTACACGACCTTGAGGCAGTTTTTAAAATCCTAAGTGAGAACCGCCTACTGACCAAAGCATCTAAGTGTGAGTTTTTACAGGACCGCCTGGAGTTTTTGGGACATGTTATTTCAGCTGCGGGAGTGGAAATCGACCCGAAGAAAATTGCGACGATTCAGGCGTGGCACGCGCCGACCAACCTGACCGAGTTGCAGAGTTTTCTTGGGTTCGTCAACTACGTGCGTCGGTTCGTCCCCGACATGGCGAAGCTGACTGCCCTGTTGACCGACCTGCTGAGGAAGGGGGTTGAGTACACGTGGGGGGAGAAAGAGCAAGCTGCCTTCTCGGCCCTCAAAAATATTTTGTGCTCCCCGCCCGTCCTTCACATTGCAGATCCCCACCGTCCGTTCGAGCTCGTCACCGACGCAAGTGACATCGCTGTGGGAGCAGTACTGTTGCAGGACTTCGGGAACGGCCTCCAGCCAATCGCGTACGAGTCCCGCAAACTACACCCGCCCGAACGTAACTACCCGATACACGACCGCGAGATGCTAGCGATCGTGCACGCGTTCAAAGTTTGGCGATGTTACCTGACTGGCGCCGACGTGACAGTACGGACAGACCACCGCTCGCTACAGTACCTTCGCGCCCAACCGAATCTCAACCCACGACAGATTCGCTGGTTGGACTATCTCGAGTCCAATTTTCACTACACCGTTACGTACAAAAAAGGCGCATCCAACATCGCCGACGCTCTCACCCGCCCCACCGCCCAACTCCACGCCATCCTACTCGCTCAGACCAACCCGCTTTTAACTGGCCTATTCACCCACGGATACCGCACCGACCCATTTTTCACGACCGGAAATTCACAGCAACTGGCAGAAGCAAAAGGAGTCTATTACGTAAAAACAGGCACCAACCGCATTTGGGTACCCGCGTACTCACTACTGAGGAAGCTGCTGCTGCAGGAGGCACACGACGGGATTACCTCGGGACATTTCGGGGTAGAAAAAACGCGACAGCAACTGCAGCGGTATTATTACTGGCCGGAGCTGTTGACCGACGTACAGCAGCACGTGGGCTCGTGCCCGACGTGTCAGGTGATGAAGAGTTCAAGGAAGCGGAAGGCGGGTCAATTGCAGCCGATCCCACCGCCCGAACGCGCCTGGCAGCAAGTAACCATGGACTTCGTCACAGGGTTACCTTCGAACCCTGGGGGTAACGACGCGGTGATGGTCGTCGTGGATAGGTTGACGAAGATGGCACACTTCGCTGCGTGCAAAAAGTCGATCTCAGCCGAAGAGACCGCTCGCTTGTTCATCGCAACCGTTGTTCGCCTGCACGGGATACCAGCAGCAATTATCAACGACAGGGACACGAAGTTTACCAGCAACTTCTGGAAGAACCTCTGGGAGCAGTTCGGGACCAGGCTACAGTTCAGTTCGTCGTACCACCCCGAGACCGACGGCCAAACGGAGCGGACGAATCAGACGATGGAGCAGTTGATTCGTGCCACGTGCGACGACCCCACGACCTGGGAGCAGCAGCTGCCGCTGATCGAGTTCGCGTACAACAACGCCACATCAGCCACGACGCAGCAGTCCCCGTTCTACCTGAACTATGGGCAAAACCCCACAGTGCCCATGACGCCGAGTCCGGACAACCCAACGCCACGTGCACAACAATTCGCCGAAATCCTGCAAGCTGCCCGCGCCAGAGCCGCCGAAGCAATAAAAAAGGCCAACGTCATCGCTAAGCGCAACGCTGATCGCCACCGCCGTCCTGTCACGTACCAATCTGGAGATTACGTGCTGCTTGACACGCAAAATCTGCGACTGCCCGACGTACCAAAATTACGACCGCGCTACTGTGGACCATTCCAAATCAGTCACATGATCACACCCGTCACCGCGCACCTACTGTTGCCAACCGACTGGTACATCAGCCCTTCGTTCCACGTCAGCCTACTTCGCCCATACATCCCGACCACAAGTCAACTGCCGCGTCACCGGCCACAATCAATGACTCGCCCTGCATCAGAGCCGATCATCGAGCCCGACAAAATTCTGAGCCATCGGATCCGCCACCCCACGGGAATCAGGAGGATTGAATTCCTCGTTCGCTGGAAAGACCGCACGCCAACTGAGGATAGCTGGGTGCCCCTGAGCAACATCGAAAATCACCCTGCCCTGCAAGTGTACCTGAGGAGCCGGGGATTCCGCGATATACACGCACTCGCGTAGCGGAGGGGGCTTCTTAAGGGGGGGGGGTAGTGTAAGGAATTTTCTCGGCATTCCTTACGGGGCCGACTACATCGCGTACAGCAACAGCCGATTGTTCGCCCGTTACTGCTAACGGAACTTCGCCGACTTCGCGCGCACTGTTTTGCCAAACCTCGCACTGCTGGCATGGCCGTATCGGCCTACGCTTCGGGACTAGCCCGAGCCTCGCTCCAGCGTAGCACTAGCAAGCTCGCACGCACCGCGTTACCGTTTTGCATGTTTCGCGTATAAATGTTCGCTCATGCCTTCGCTCACATTTTGTACTCGTTTGACACCTTAGTGCAATTCTCGCTACTTCGATTCATTGCACCCGTAACACTGAATGAACAATGAAGTAGCGAGACCTAAATAGGGGAAAAGCTAGCTAGGCGGGGAGGTTGGGCGAGGATGGCTCGGTGATGGTTGCGATTGGGGCGGAGGCCGAGTCGGGAGTGGTTCGGTGCGACGAAATAGGAAGGTCAGGTTCGTCGCGTGACCCTCTGGATGACCTCGCTAACGAGTGTCTCAGTAAGGATTTGTAAATCCTTAAAAATATGAACTCAATTTACAGTAGAATCATTTTCCTGTTTCCCTATTTGATCAACGTTGGCAGGCCTACCTATGTCCAACGCAGTGGAACAAAAAAGGGGCACACATACTTCAGATTCTCATTGTCTTATCACATGCATATGGGAAAATCATGCACCACCTTATTGGTTTCTTATATCTAGAGTGTGGTTGGAATGTATTCAAGACCAGATGCAGAGAAACTACAAGCAACGCCAGGTTCAGATCAGAGGGACCAGTCTGCTTTGGTAGTTTTCACATGCAGTATTCCTCGGTACTCCAGTCCACCACATTGCGTGTCAACGAAGAGTGCGCGGTCCCATATGTGCACATTCCTTCTGATGCTCCTTCAAATACTCATAGGCCTGCTTTCCTGTCATCAAGTCAGCAACAGGTGCTGGGCTCTTCCCAGCCCCCACTCCTCCAGCACTGCTCCTCATATTCGAGCTGCTTCTGGCACTTGGTATACCTGACAGCCCACTCACCCTATCACTCGCCCTCCCACTCGTCCTGTCGTGCTCCACACCGCTACCCCTGGCCTGGGAGTCCCCATCGCTAGATGCAGAGCTGGGCCTTGTGCCCCGTGCAGCCATGTGCTGTGCACTGCCCCACAGCCACGCTGCCTGCTGCTGCAGGCTCAGCACCCCTGCCCTGTGAGCAAACTCTTCAGTGTGCTCCGGTGATGCTGCAGGGAGCCTGTGACCTGCCAGTCAAACATAGAGGACGTGAAAAGGCGGGCCGGGGGGCAGCAACTATGCAGGATCCTGCACACAAATCGTACACAATGCAGATGCAGCTGATTCTCACCAGTTGAAGAGATTTGAGTGCTGCTGGAAGAAGAAGTGGCTGAAAAGATAGCTGCTTGTCTTGTGACCCCGGCCACAGCTTGCCTTGGCTCAGTTTGGCGTTTCCCCAGGCTGGTCACTGCTCCATCATATGTCAGCATGGGGCTAGAGGGCTGTGTGCTCTGACTGGTTGCTCCCTTGTCTGTTTCTCGGTTGCTTGAGGCCCATGGCTTGGCTCCAGGAGAGCGAGAAACACTCATGGTGGCCAGCGACTCAATTGCCTGCATCAGCCCGTCAAAGCCTGACTGCAGACGCTTGTCCACTGGAGGAGGGACTGCCTTCACTGGGGTTTTGTGCTCCGCCTTGCTCACCCTGACAGCCATAAGTGAGGGACTAGGAGTGACGAATGGCAAGACAGAATGAACAGAAAATACTCACCAGGGGTCATGATTGTCAGCCGCAGTCTGGCATGGCTGCTGATGTGCCTCCACTTCAGCCTGAGTAGCAGAGCTGAGCAACGTGATTTCACCCTTACCCAGCGTTGTTGCAGCGGATCCTTTGCCCACTGAATGGTTTCCCTGTGCCCACTGCAACGCAATTCCTTCATCAACACCACCTTGCTGTAACGGCTTGCTCGTGCATGTGCTTGTCCCATCAGCAGCAACCCCAGGTGGTTCAGTTGTACGTTTGTCAGCGAGCCTTGACAAGGCACCATCAGCTCCATCAGACTTGTCTTCTCTTTCCCCCTCAGGCTCGGAACTGTCAGCATTTGAGCCCTGAGCCACATCCGTTCTTTCCTCATGCAGAGCTATCGTGATGGCTCCCTTCCTTATGGTCAGTGGGACTCCAGAATTGGAACGTGAAGCAAGAGGAGTGGGCGCCTCCAATCCCCCAACGCGTCCCTCCAGCCGTGAGACATTACCCGACCCCCCTCGCATCAGCATTGCCTCCCTGGCTAGCTGAGCAGCCACCAAACGGCGCCCTGGCTCCTCACCAACCAGCTTCGTCTTCCACCAGTGGTCATCCAATAAGACCCGTGGACGCCGTGTGCCAGTGGAGGTGCTACCAGTGCTCGTTTGGGTCGTAAGAGGCCATTTGTCTTTGACATGGTCGGTTGAGCTGCTGCTGCCGGTGCTGTCTCTGGAGTGCCTGTGGTTGGACTGCTCACTTGACTTGCTTGACCCGTCACTGGACCTCGCACCAACAACAATCTCTGACGAATGCTCGCCCTTCATCTCTTTGGACAAGTCTATACTGAGGCTTCCGCTCAAGGCTGTTGAATGATCATACGCATAGGCACTTCCTCCCATGCCTATGCCTTGGCCTTCATCCAGCTCACAGGGACTTCTCCCTTCACTGACCCCATCGCCACTAGCCTCAGTGGCCTCCTTCCCTTTGCTGAAATCATCTCCATCCTTCTCATCACCTTCTTTTACTCCAAACATCACGCTGCGACCAGCCCCTGCACTCGCTTGTGACTCCAAACCCTTCGCATCACCGACCTCAACGTCAGCAGCATGATCCAGGTGTAAAACGTTCTCAGGATTCTCCATATCAGGTGGGGGGACCTGCAGGTTTGGGGTAGATAGCCGCTCTTGAAGGTGACTCGTTTTGAAGAGGGATGCAGAAGCGTTTTTGTATGCATCTTGTCTGCGCACCTCTTGTTCCTGCACTCAACAAGTACATAGCGTCAGCTCAATGACACGTGCTTGAATCTTGCCTTACATGCTTAATCGATTCATACCTGGAGCTTCTTCTTGTCCAATTCACTCATCTCAGCCACCTGAGCTCCATGCTCTTGGTGTTTCCGAAGTGCACTTCCAAGATCTACCATTGCACCACTCATTTTCGTCCCCAGTTCCACAAATGCTGCTACAGGAGCAGCCACGATCATTTGCAGGGATGGCATGTTGTTCAATGCAGTCTTGTGAGAGACTCCCTCGTTGCCTGCTGCATCTGATGCCGTTGTGCCTGCAGCTGCCTGCTGGCCAGTCGATCCAAATCGCCAGAGTGCTGGCTTGCGTGAGATGCTGCCTGCCTCCCCAATCAAGCCACCTTCAGAGCCTCTCCCTTCTGCAGAGGATCTGCTGGAGGTGGGCTTTCTCGGTCCACCTGACAATCTCTGCACTCCAGCTGCTATACTAGCTAATTCCACATGCCTAGAAACGTCTGCTCGAGCACCCTGTCTCTTCATCATACCGCTCATGTTGCCATAACCCATTATGCGTGCTTTGAGCTCTTCGTGACTCAGCTTCTGCTTCTCAGCGGATTGCATGGGAGCAATGGTGTCAACATGCGCACTCTCCACAACGTCCGCTGCCATCTGGTTAATAGGGAGCACTTCCACGGCATGACATTCCTCATTATCAGCTGTGGAATTAGCAGCACCCACCCCAGTGTCAAAGTTTGCAGTGACATTGGTCTCGTTAACTTGATCGGTCGGTGAACAAGCATCCACAGCATCAGGCGCTGATGTATCACCCTTCTCCAGTGAATCTTCACCCCTTTGCTCCGTGGCCGTGTCCAAGTTACCAGGCACAGATTCAGATGCTGCTTCTGGGGAGGCGTCATAACTATTTCCTGGTACTGGTTCTGTCAGCCGCTCCTCTACTGCTGCTTCTGCCAGGATTTGCTCACTGGTGCTGCTCTCTCTGGGAGAGCCGATGGGAGGAAGCCTTATGGTGGTACTGGTCATGTCGTACATACTTGAAATCCACTCAAGAGCCGCACTCACTGGCGTTGCCTGAACTTGAGCCTTGCTTATTGTGTCTGGTTGTCACCGAATGAAACAGTATTAGTACACGCTCACTCGGGAAATGCACTCGCATCAGCGAAGCTTTGACATCAAGGTACATACCATGGTGCACTATGGAGGCAACTTCACCATCGTTGTTGAACACCACACAGCTTGGAACTGTGAAGCCACGCTGGCCACCTGACTTGCTGTTTTTGCTTGACAGGAAAGAGCGAGAGCTAGGAATTTGAATCCTGATTTTGCTTGTTTCCACTGAATGTGAGGCCACTTTTGAATCGTGGAGTTCCAGTACGCGACCCTTTTGCAGCTTCCATGAAAGAGCAGTGAATGGAATGCTCTCAGCAGATATCTTTGATGAGCTTCCTTGTGGAAGACGTAGAGCAGCGAAGTAATAGACGAGCAGAAAAGCATTCGAGCCAATTCCAAGGCTTCGAGACAATGCCGAGACATTGCACGCGACTGAGGCATGTTCCTCTCCGCAGGACAGCTGCTCGCATGCAACGATTGTAACACCGAGCGCCTCATTTGTTCCAAAGGCCCTGTCAGGGTAAGCGTAAATCAGTTATCAGATACCAGACCTTCTAGGCTTTCATTCCAATACGAACCTATCTGGTGATAGAGGTTTGGGAGCGCAGATTAGTTGAGCCGTAGCGTGAGATCCTTTCTTGTTCTTGCGTATAACGGGAGCCGAGAACGCCAACAAATGTAAGCCTGCTGCTGCCTCTTTTGACGGCACAGCGGAACGGGTTGTGATAATCAGACCGCCATCAAGCAGTAATCCTGTAAAAACCTCCTCTTTTTGGAGTTTCGCCAAAAGGTTATCGCAGCAATCAGGTTCTACATCTCGCAAGGAGGATACGCCGAATCTGTATGAGAGAACGAAAGGTGTCAATCCGACTTGAAATAGGGAACCATACGATACAATAAGCGCTTACCTGCTTAACAAGACAACTGACACCTGGTGTGGCTGTATGGATTCGACTGCTGGCCATGAACCGGAAAACGACCCACAACCGAAAGCCATAAGGATGCCTTCTTCACCACTCGCCTACGCAACCAGAAAGTACCCCTCACACCACGTAATGAGATTTACTGTCTGGGAACTTGAAGCTCAACCGAGGTATCCATTGTGATGTGCGGAGTGATCTACAGCAGCACGATAGTGATGGAAAGCAGGGGAAGCTTGGCTTCTGATGGTCGCTGGAACTTGTCAAAACAGACAGACCCCTTCGCTGACGACCGATGTGGAAAATACAGAACTTGTATCGAACATATCCATACAAGGTCGTGAACAAGTACAGCCGGTGCTCCAGAACTTGTATGGAAAATATCCATAGTTGTTAAAGCTGTTCATTTTGCAATTGCTTGCAACCATTAAAATAATGTGAACCACCAGTTTCAACAAAGACTGACAAAGGTGCACTCGGCCATGTTTATTTAATAATATCGTTACTCCTTTTCCGTACATGAGCACAGTTTGATAATCATTCCATCCAGGAGATCTGACTCTGACACAATGCATGCTGTGCACTGAAGCACTTCCATTAATGATAACACAGCACACATACCCCCAATAATCACGTCCACATGGCCTTCCCACATGCCAGGTAAGCGAGCTCTGTCCTCTCGTGTCATTCCTGCGCATTTCTCGAGTATCCCAGTCACCACTTCCACATCCAAAACAAAACCTTGAACTTTCTCCCTTGTGTATGGCACGCCCTGAGCAAGCGCGGCAAGAGTTGTCAGTATCCCTCCTGTGCCAACCACCACTCTCCCCACTCCACATGTTGCCACTCCAGACCTCATACCCCTTCCTACATGATCGATGTGCTTGGACCAGTCGGTTGACAGTGCAGGAGAGAGTTTGCAGCGGTAAACCTCCCTGGCAGCAAGACGAGCTGCTTCAATGCTGGATGGAGAGGTGGGGCTGAGGTGGAGAGAATAGGAGCGCGATAGAGAGGAGGAGCCAATTTCAACTGAGACGACAGTGTGAGGGCCAGAGATAGTGGGTGAAGACGAGGACAAAGAGGAGGAACTGGAAACTGCACCCTTGAAGGGGGGAGAGATGATCCCCAAGGCCACCTCTGATGAACCACCGCCAATGTCTATCACTGCAAGGGGTGATTCTTCCTGTGCCAATAATATGTTCACTGCTGCGGTGGCGCCAAGAAATGTCAGCTTGCCCTCTTCTTCCCCTGATATGACTTCCGGAGTTGAACCAAGTACTTGTGCGGCTGGGATGAGAAAATCTGCAGCATTGGCTGCACGCCTGGCAGCTGACGTGGCGCACATACTCGTTTGCGAGACCCCATGGACACGACATAGCCGTGCGAAGTACCTCAGGATATCAAGGCAAGTGGAAACAGTGTCAGGAGAAAGAGAGCCAGTGCGTGACACATCAGCTCCAAGAGTCACTGACCGTGTTTCGCGTACCAGCTCTCTGCTTCGGAAACATGAACCTTCGCCGCATTCGCATATGAGGAGTCTAAGTGCGTTAGTCCCGCAATCTATAGCCGCCACACGCACAGAAGCGGAGCCGTTGGGCGAATTAAGATGTCGAATCTGCGGCTGCAACTCATGACCAGCGCTGATCGACAAATGTCCTTGCTTTCTACTTGACTGGCCGATTTTCACACACTGGACGGAAAGCGGGGACATGAAGTCCCTACGGTAACCAGTCGGCTTGGGTCGCTGCGAATCGGGACATGTGAACGATCGTCGTCGGCCGAAAGCAAGACACTGCGGCCCCACGCTAGCTAGACGCATAGGAGCGACTAAGAAACACATATTGCCAAGAGGCCGCTGCCTTGGTATATGGTCTGCTCTGCTAGTGTTACGTGATCTCGCTTGGGCGTGGTTGTGACTGTCGCTAAAACATCATCTCGAGGAAAGGGTCGCTTGTCCTGTCTTGCACATGCATGCACCCATTGAGGACTTCAGCCAACTTGTGCTTTATCTGGTCTGCATGTCATCTGTTTTATTTGTAAGTTAATCTGTCATTATAGTGGCCTATCCATGGCGTTTATAAGAAGCACTGAGTGGCCAATGGTAAGGCACAATCTAGGGGCTAACATCTGAGCCAAGGTATGACAGGCAAAACCCAAAATCCTGCAGCTTGTGATAGCCATGGCAAGAGTGCATCCTTAGGTCTGGCCCCACAACAGGCGTGGTTCTTTTCCAGTCCATACGGTGGGAGGAAATGGACACAGAAGATAACACTTATCTCGGGGAAACGTCGCTGCATTGAACAAGCGCTAACATTGAGAGTACATGCTCAGCAGAACCTATCCGTCGACAGCTTATCGGTTGATCTCCTCGTCCAGGTCGATGTGGATGTACTCTGTGTCGTCCTCCAGCCGCTTGCGTGAGCCGCTCCCAGCTGGCACTGGCGTCAGAGGCAGGCCCAGGCGGCTCTTGCCCTTCGAAGACTTCGGCCGGCACTGAGAGGAGGGAAGGATAAAGGGCAGTCATTTGTTGAGTGAGGGAAAAAGAACTGTCGATGGCTTACACATGAGACAGTCCTGGGGGGAAAAATGGATTCGCGGATGAAAACAAACACTAAGTCTTAACTTACGTTGCCAAAGGATCCACGAGTCCTCTTCCCCTTCGCGGTACGCTTGTCCCCACGCCCACAATAAACTGCACAGAACGATCAACCGAGACCACAACAGCAGGTCACAAATGTTCCTTTTCAACTGGCGCGGGAATATTCGACACCGCCCATAACCCAACTCCTCTGAACACACTATGCTGCTGCTTTATCAAAACCAAACGAAATGAGAGAGGATTGCAAGAGCCATTGCACAATGTGAAAGCTAAAACGCTTGCCTTGTGGAAATCCCGCGACCTTCAGCGCATCCTGGTTCACGGGAGCTGCGCAGGAAACCTGCGAAGAATACTCTGACAGAGTCACGCAACTCCCAAGGGAAGCTGCGGAAGTGGAGACTAAGAACGAAGAAGCAAGCAGGGACGCCATGGCGGATAGGCGGAACTTCAGGAATGTCTTTGTTCAAGTTGAGATGGTCCAACGGGAGAGAGGCGCGGGAGGTGGTGGCGAGGAGTCGGTTGGGAGGTGGGCAAACAGGGAGAGAGAGAGGGAGCAGCGAAAGCGACGGTGCCGATGGTCGTGTGATTGGTGGATAGCGAGATCGCCACGTGGCGACTATATCCTCGTCATTATCAGCTCGTAAAAAGAAAACAAGAACATTGGAAAGTTTCCAGCACGTTACATTAATTTCTGGTATTGGTTTTCGTTGACTTCTTCCATTACCGAATCGCTTCCCACGCCAACCAAATGGCTGACGTTTGATGAGATGAAAGTTACTGGTACTGTATATGAGGAAGGTTTACGTTTGCTCTGCGGTTGATGCCAAGCAACTAATAAGGCAGAACCTTGATAATATGGCAGAATTGTCGGCAAATATTCATATAAAAGGAAAAATGTTCTGATACTTTCTTTGATTTACAAGAACAATGGTGCAGTCGACTAGTTCACCTGGGCATACCAGATGCCCTGGATCTTAACGTCCTTGGGAACCTTGGCACCCATATCAGTGTCAGAGGGCTGGACGCTGGTGAACACTCCGCCAATCTCGCCAGTCTCAACGTTCGACTTGGCCACGCTGAAGGTGATGTTGCCGCTCAAGGACTTGTACGACTTCTCGTTCTCCTTCCTCAGCTTCTCGTTGTCACCGAAGCCACCAGCAGGGAGGGCAACGGCAGAGTCGTACCCTTGAGCACCACCACGGCCCTTGGGGTCAAGGAACGTGGCACCGCGGTAAGATGGCACCAGGAAGGACCCGCCGAAGCTGTCGGGCGTGCCGGAGGCAACCAGCTCCTTGATGGTGAAGAGGAACGGCACCCTCTCGCCACCGGACAGCTGGACGGTGACAGCGGCGTAGTCAATGCCGTCAACCTCGGTGAACTTGATCTTGTCGCCGGAGACCTCAAGGGGGCCCTCAATCTCGTCCAGGGTGTATGTGAGGCGGGTCATGAGCTTGGTCTTCTGGAACTCCTCGCCCTGGCCCTTGAACTGGGACTCGGCCTTCACGGTGAAGGAAGTGGGCTCCAGGCACATCTTGGTGAGCTGGTACTTGCCGGACTTGAAGGCGAAGCCATCAACACCGCCAGCAATGATGGGGCACTGGTTGGCGATGCCGCTGCCCTTCACCTCAGAGTAGGTCAGGCTCTGGAGCTCATCGAAGGTCAGCCTGGGGATCTCAGCCTGGGCAGCCTGTAAAAATGCGAACACAGAATTTTGGGTCAGCAACGGCGCTGTAAACGATCTCAGAAAAGAAAATAGGATAGAATCACATACCGATGCAAGCAGGGCGGTCGAGGCGAGAGCAAGAGCAGCGGTCTTGCCGGCATCAGCAGCCTTCTGGACGAAGCCGCGGACGTTCTCCTCCAGGGAGCAGGACACCTTGGAGGAGGCAGTCTTCAGGCCGAAAGCCTGAGACACGGGAGCGGCCTTCAGGGAGGCGGCATTGACCTTAGGCTGCACAAGGGACGCGGCCTTGAGGCTGGCGGAGACGGTGGTGGCAGCCATGGTTGCGGGATGCTAGGAAGACACCTGCAAACCAAGAATGCTACCAAAGAAAATCGGTCTGAACGGAGTGGAAGGCAACCAGAGTAGATCCCAAGGAGAAACGAAAGAGATGGTGTCTCGAGCGGGGGTGTGAATTGGATGGGCGAAACTGCATTATCCACGAACAGATGTCGCCACGATCGTCAGAACCAATGTGGTGACGCCACGATGGCAGTCGGTTCGTTCCTCGCCACCAGGTTTAGCACGCTGATTTCCTAGATGGTCGCACGGGTAGTGGCTGGGTGTGCTGGTTGCGGCAACTCTCGCAAATCCATTTCGCGTGTGCTTTCGAAACCCTGCCGGTGTACGCTCTTTACGCGTCTCAATATTGAATATTGGTCTGAATCTATTCGTCTCGAAACAAATGTTTCTCATGTACTTCAGACTTGTTCAAATCGCCAACCAGCACGAAGTTTTCTAGGCGAGGCAGCAAGTGAGGGAGCGACAGTCTGGCGTGCCTGAAGTACACGAATCAACTACTTTTCATCCCATGTCCTGAAAAGACTAGACGGCAGGCCGTCAATTCGCCAATACTTTCGAGTCCGTTTCAGTCCGGAATTTGCACAGTCGCTTGCAGCTTCGTGGATTTCTCCAATTCGATAGGCGTTCTTTCTGTTACCCTTGTTCGATTGGTCAACCCTGCTTGCTGCCGCGTAGTCAGCTCTAGTATCCGCGTATGCGGCAAAAATGCCGTCTGCCTCCCCCACGGTGCAGGACTCACCGCATGGCAGCTTCAGGCAAGCGGACATGCGCGGAGCAGGCATGGGTCGCGGGGGGAACATGGGGGGCATGGGGGGAATGGGGATGCGCGGGCCCGGCATGCGGGACATGGGCATGCGGGGGCCAGGCGCGCGGGAGGGGCCGGGCGTCGTACGCGATACAGGAATGAGTGAGCTCGCGCTCCGATCCATGGCGATGCGGGACCCGGGCATGCGCGACGGGGGCATGCATCGCGGCGGGAGAGGCCCCGCGGCGTACGGCGGCGCGTACGGCGGCGCATATGGCGGAGGCGCGGGGCCGCGGCGGGAATGGGGCGCGCAAGAGCAGCGGCGGTGGGGAGCCGGTGGGGGGTACGTCTCGGGAATACCGGCGTCGGGAATAGCGCCGTACGACAGTCCCCCCGAGACGACGTATGTGGAGATGGAGGACGATCCGACGGCTCACGACTCGCCGCCGTCGTATCACAGAGCGGTCGACGTGAATCCGCACATCGCGATGCTGAGACGGCGCCGCGCCATGTACAGCAGCAGCAGATCGCACTACTTGTCGGCGCTTATCAAGCAGAATCTGCCCTACATAGTCATCGCGGTTCTGCTCATTCTGTTACTTATTCAAAACCGGCGGCAACAACAGCTAGCGACTGTCTCGAATGGGGGGAATGGCGCAGCAGGTGGGGCGGGCGCGGGAGGGGGAGCCGCAGGGGCAGGGGCTAAGTCTGCAGCGGGAGAGAAAGCGGAAGCAGGGAAGGGGGGCGGGGGGCAAGCGGGGGCGGGGCAAGCGCAGTCAGGGACAGGAGCAGCGAAGAATCCAGTGGACCCACGGGTTTTGCAGCAGCAAGGGGGCGCGCAGCAGCAGCAGCAGCCGCGAGTAGAAGCTGCAGGCGCGGCAGGAGCAGCGGGCGGGGGACTGACTGCGGGGGCCGCGGGAGGGGGACTGACGGCGGGGGCAGCGGGAGGGGGACTGACGGCGGGGACAGCGGGAGGGG